ATATAACATTATATATAAATTACACATTATATAAAATTATCACATATTGCAACTGTAAGATGCATAAAAAAGCAATTTTCAATTATCTCAATATTTTAAAACTATGAATATGTTAAATTCAAGAATGCAAAATATGAGAATCTCAATAAAAAATTACCCGTAATTTTAATCTAAAATCGCAATATATCATGTGCCGTATGTGCACCTTAGTATTAGTAGTGTTTACGTTGTAGCTCGTTAAGAACTATACAATATGATATATTTAACTATACGATAAGATATATTTAAATATATCACGGGCATCTTTCTCTTATATCAAGAAACACGGTAGTGTCTCGCGCCAAGTCACGCGAAGCAAAGATCGCCCAGTGATCTTAACCTAGACCTGTATCGTCTGATCAATTAAAAAAAAAAAAGAAGTTGTTGTTGTTGTTTCCTCTTAACATAATTATATATGATGCAAAAAATAAAATAAAGTGGATGACTAATTTATGTCTTGACCTAAAACACACACACACGCACATATACATATATATTTCTTTGAAAGCTTAAAGAAATGTGCGTCAATGAACCAAGTATTTTGAAACACAAGAGAGAAGCAAAATATTAGAAAAATCTATACTATAGTATTATTAAAATAAATTTTGGAAATTGATCGCGAATAATCAATTATATTGATTCTCTCAATCACAATTATAACGAGTGTTATAAATCACGCATATAATTAAACAAATATGGACGTAAGAAAACAATTGATTATAATATTATTCAATGGGTAAACAAATCGAAGAAAATGGCGTAAATAAAAATATTTTTTCATAATATCTTCAAATTTTATTAGGAAATAGAATGAAAATAACATCTCGTCTCACGCGATATGCTTTTGTGATGAGATAACTGTAGCGCGCGCGCAGGCACATAAAACGCACACAAAAACTTTTCTCTTAAAATATTTTAATATTGTAGAAGCATATTGCAGAGAAGATTTATATTTTTTTCAGCGGATTAGACGAGTTGTCCTCTTTTCATTGCATCGATAGTCTTCAAAAGCTGGCACGTTTCGGACGAAATGTTATATGCTCGATACATACTCCCAGCGCGACTGTATTTAACAAATTTCACAACATCTACATCATGGCTGCCGGTCAATGTGCTTATAGGGGCACCCCGAATAACATATTGCCATTCCTACAAGGCATAGGTCTAGAATGTCCGAAGCATTACAATCCGGCGGACTTCGGTAAGTTATATACACGTATGCTGTTTGTGCAATCGTATTTTTCGATTCTCATGATCTTTTTTCAATATTATTTTCAATATTTTTTTCAAAGTTACAAGCCACAACATATGTTAATGTCGCGTTCTTCATGAAAAACGCTTAACATTTTTTCGCAGAGGAGATCTCAGAGCTTTAAGAATTCACACTTACAATTAGTTTAATTTCAGACACAATCATAATTATATAATAATGACGCTAAGATATATCAGATCTCAAGACTTTAAAAATTCATATTTAGTTTAATTTCACCATCATAATGATATAATAATGACGCTTAGATATATCAAAAGATGTTAATGTTTCGAATACTTATTTCAGTAATAGAAATCAGCTCGGGCGATTATGGTTCCGATCCGATCAAACAAATGATTATTACTTGTGCCAAGAAGTTACCGATTCTTCCGATTTCTCGAGCAAAGTATAAACTCGAGCTTGATACGCAGAATCCGAAAGTTTTTTGGCTCGATCAATTCAAAACGCTAATAGAAAGAATGATATTGCAACTTTATCGAAATAGAGTAAGAATCGAACACATATTATGTATTACATTACTAAGTGCCAAGTGAATTCATATAAATATATATATATATAATAAAACTATATATGTTAAATGAGCACATTCTTTTCTATACATTTGCAGAATTATATTTATATAAAGACATCAGTATATATTTTTTTGGGACTAATAATTGGCTCAATGTATTTTAATATGGGCAATGACGGCTCCAAGACTGTGTTCAATTTTGGCTTTTGCTTCGGGTGCCTAATAACATTCCTGTACATACCCATGCTATCAGTATTACTGAATTGTAAGAATTCTTTTCTGTGTATAGATAATTAGAATTAGTGTACAAGAAATTAATTAAATTAATTTTTTGTTTGCAAAATTCAGTATTTGTCGGTGTTACATTTATAGATATTCTGTTGATATGAAAATATATATCTCTTTCTCTCTCTTTCTCCACAAGAAAAAAACATCCATTGGAAGCAATCAAAATATGTAATATACAATTATATGTTTTATAATATTTATTAATTGTTATCATGTTTAAACTTCGTAAAATCTTTTCTAAAAATGAAAAGGCAGAAAAATAACTAAATTATACTCTATTAAGTATATAGAAATCAGATTATGATTGTATTTTATCTCAATATTCTTTCGTTACAGTTCCTTTTGAAATTAAGGTAATAAAACGAGAATACATCAACAGATGGTACAATCTTAGCGCGTACTATTGGGCCCTAACTGTAATCAATATACTTCTACAGGTTGGTTCCTCTGGTAAATTCTTTACTGTATAGCATAGATATTTCATGTAACTAATCATTTATTAGGTATATTTATTATTTTACGTTAGACCTTTATCAAGTCTAACTATTTAAAAAAATTTCTGGATCTTTTTTCAGATACTGTTCGGATTTATATTTCTTTCAATAGTCTACTTCATTACGGGACAACCCTTGGAGTGGCATAGATGCATTATGTTCTTTAGTACTTGCTTCATATGCTCCTTCATCGGGGAGAGTATAGGATATAACATTGCTACCATATTCAATTCCGTAGTATGTTTGGAATTATAGTCATGAATATAATATAAAAAAATAATTCTTTAAAATTAATAAATATAACGGCAGATGTTTCTTTTTTTATTTAGAATGGTATGTTCATCGGACCAGTGATACTTTGTACCATGGTTTTAGCCGCGATGCAAGGTTTTGGAGATCCCACTTCTCTATCAATTTATCGAAAGTTATTCATGTATAGCAGTTATGTTCGATATGGACTGGAGGCTCTCACAGTAGCCATGTACGGTTTTAATAGACCGAGACTACCTTGCCCAGCGGAAGAAATATATTGTCATTATAGTTCGCCCAAAAAGATCTTTCAATTGATAGGTAGAAACTCTATATAATAATAATACTCGAGTTAATTGTTTTTAATCGTTCATTTTAAAAGCTGTTATATGTATATGTATATCGCATTTGTATTCTATGTTACCGATTTTCTCTATCTCTATTTTATTTCTCGATAATATGTAAATATTCGAGATATTAAAGTAATATCTTATCTGTTTGTTTTGCAGCTCTAGAGAATGCTCCAAATTATTGGGTGGATTTGCTAGCTCTTATTATTATATTTATTATTTATAAGATAATGTTTTATTATTTATTGAAGCAAAGAGTGCAACCAAACAAAACTATTGAGATACTTCAAATAATCGGGAAATCCGTCAAGAACCATTTCAATATATGATTGTTAATGCTTTTAGCTCAACGCTCTTTAAAACAAATTTTAAATTCAAAATGTAATTGTGAAAAAAATACGATTATTGATACAATGATAGGTTAAACGTAATATTAATTGTTGTTAAAAAATGATTTGTACCAATAATATAAAAAGTTGATAATCTGTTATAATTTTTGTTAAATAAAAAAAAGTAAATCGCGTATATTCTTTTGCAAAATTTATTTTCTCCTATTTTTCTCATCACATTGTCAAATTCATATCTGTAATGACTTCAAAATAAAATAAGAAACTCTTGTATATCGAACTTTATATATAAAAGCAGTAATTTAAATCATGCAAAAGGGGTACATATAATTAGCGTTATAGCACTGTATCTGAACAAAAAGTGACTCTCTCGTTATTAAGGATTATAAATTAAGTCATGAAAGAAAGTGGCGATGCCATCTAATGTTATTGCTGTTTCTTTATTGCTCACAAATACGTTCGGTTGCATGCCTGTGAGAATTTTTCTCTTAGAAGTTAATATAACACAGCGTGATTTTTTTTTATTATTAGACATATGCATCATGTCAGAACAATAAAGAAAATAGCAAGTGCTAAATATAGTAGATAAATGATGTTAGGAAATTTGATATGTACGGTTCGTGACGATACATCAGTTTCAGTATTTTTCTATTTATTCCCCAGCATTATTTAATACTGCGATTTTAGCGCACGTTATCAAATATAATATGATAATGATAATATGAATTAAATGTTTTCTTTTTAAATTAACAGCATGCACAATTTAATATTATCTTTTAAAAATTAAAAATAACTGTGTTTTTTGATTATATTAAGTATCAAAAATAATTATTATTTTGATATTTAATGCAACCGATTATTGAGAAAAATTATGTCATAAATTACTTTATGCGATTATAAGTACAATTATGTCAATTAAATGTTCGTGACGCTTTTCAATATTCATATAGTATTTTTACGATACAATTGCTAGAATATTTATAATATTGTCAAATTTATAATATTTCATCTCTTCACAATGAGATCAAATAAAGAATCTCTTACCAACACATAATGTGGAATGGAAGAGAAACAATGGAAAAAGGTGATGCTGCAACTGCAGAAAAAGGTAGTGAGAGAGTTGAGCGCATTTAGCTTCGACACTGCTCTCTCGGAATTAGTATCTACTCTTTCCACGTGGAATAATTTTTCTCTTTTCCTGATAGGATGGCCAAGTATAATATTGCATTGGGTATTTTTTTGCTGTCTTTACTGTACATCATAGTTACTCGACCATATTAGTCAACCGGATTTTCAACGGATCAGCGCCCATTCGCATTCGTACGCGTGACAAAGATCGCCTCCATAAGCATGCAAATTTATGTTAACGGCGACATACACAATCAAATTACCATGAGAATAACATACATATGGATCTATTTTCTAGTTGATCCACGCATGGATTTGTAATCGGCACGAAGAATTAATTATTCACGCGATGAAATGCATGGAAAAAAAGCGAGTAAGCGCGTCTAATGTCACATCATTAATTTTAACAAAATTTTTTAATCTTTCTGTGCAAAATAATTGTGAATCGTCATAACAACTTACAGCATAGCGACTTTTTGCAACTTTAAATACGGTACACGAAACAATGAAAAATTTAATATTTCGTGCAAATAAAAATTCTGTTGTAATTATAACTATAATTCATTTTGCACCCGATTTTTAATTTACAATAAATATTCACCGTATCTAAAATATGCTTTTGCAATAGCTCTATTGTTATTCGCCACGCGCCCGATTCGACGCAACAGAGTTTACACGCAACCAAAACACGTTGTTACGGAAACAGAAATTGCAGGAAACAGCAGAGAGATTCTATTAGACTCACCTAAGTGCACGCCATTCTCCGTCAGTGGTTGTGGTCGGCGCGGATGTGCTTCTGCTCGGAAGACTCAGACGAGGGCCGATGCGCAATGTCATGGGTCGTCTTCTTCGCGTGTAATCTGAAATAATCGAATGCTACAGAGAAATCTCCGAAGCGTGGTTATGCGCCCAGCAATTCTACATTGCACGCGTAATCTCTGTTTCCTCCCCGAGGGAAAGGGGGTGGGGGAGAGGGCAACATCGTGCCGCGCCTGGAAGCCAGGTGTTTGCAGAGGAAACATCGATTTAAAGGGATTACCGCTGCATGGGATTGAATGGTGATGATGATAAATTTCTATCTCGTCACGTGTACGCAATGCACAATGCGTTCGGTTTTTATGGAAAAACAAATTTCATCGTTAAGCGCCATATAATACCAATACGATTAAGCGCATCGTATTTATTAAATAAAATTTATTAAATCTCTAATCCTTTTCGAATACTAGGTTAATATTGTCATTTTTGTATCATATTGTATTTTACTGTGCATTATTTTCAAGTAAAAAATTATGATTTAATTTTTAAAAAGAGCTGTCCCTCTCGCTTTTTTTCTTTATTAATTTAATTTTTGAATATATAAAAATCCAAGGGCAAGATCTGCCCAAGCACATACAAATCCGAATAATATATATATGTAAAAGATTTTACTAAAAATTTTTTTCAAAGATTATTTTTATCACAAATTTTTAAGAATAGATTTATGTTTATTTCTCAATATATAGTAGTTAATACATATTTTTTTATCTCATTATTACGTTTTTCTCATTAATTTCGATTATAAAATATAAGAACCAATGGAAAAAATATAATGCTTTTGTTCTATGCGCGCGCTTTATGCATATAATAATAAATGGAAAATCTTACCATTTGCGGAACAAAGCGAATTCCGTCCGTGAAAGACATGAGGCGATAAGTAGTGTGGATGTGGATTTGTGGGAGTTGGCGGGGTGGTTCGACTCGGAGCTGATGTGGTAGTCCAAGGCGGTGCTGCATCTTGTATATTTGTTTCTGTCGAGACAACGGGGATCTCGTTGGTCACCCGCACTTCTATTCCCACAGACTGTCAACGAGAACAACAAATATGAGAAATATGCATTTGTATGGAAAAATAATATATGATACATTTTTCGAGTAAATTTCGAAGCTAGTTCTGTCGTTTTATCAAACTTTTTAATATTCAAGATTAAACATCTTAATAATTCAAATCATTTGAATTTTGAAAAGTAAACAAATTCATTTAAATTTAAGTGAACACAACAAAGTTTTATTATTTAATAAAATATATACAGAAACTCTTTATATTTTTTAAATTGCTTATAATTTAAGATACATTAATGTCTCAAAAATTTATTCAAAAAGACATTGATTCTCTCTCTCATATTTATAACAGAGAGAAATAAAAAGAATACACTTGACGAATTTATTCATGCTTATTATATCAGCGATAAGGTCGTCAATATGTCATAATATGCTAAAGATATCAAAGAAATTAATTTTCATTTCGTGGTCACATTACTGAAAATCATAAATTTCATTATAACCAGCTTAAATTGATTCGAAATTTCATAGGTCATACGCGGGTATATATCAAACTATATAACTATTATATATGATATTATATTCCCTATTAATATTACAAACTAAATTATGTATAATTGACGTCACGAGCAGGCATCGCGTCGGGTGTGTCTACAATGTTATAAAATACAATTACTCGACACAAAGATCAATATTTGTAATAAGATCGAGAATCGTTTAATTGAATTACAGATATTACAACCTTGTTAAATAGTTCATATCTAACTATATTGATTGATGCCTAAATTGACCATGCTCTGTAATGCAATTTACAATATGTTTCCTTTGGAAAAAAAAAATAAATACAAAATTTTAAACTAAATATGCATTTTCCGAAATTTCTGTGATTTGTTTGCCAAATTGTATTAATACAGAATGAATCCATATAATGTAAAATTTCCATAATAAGCCAATGCAGAAACGTTTGAACTATTGGTTTAGAAAGATATATAACAGAATGCATTAACAAAATTAATTGAGCAATAACAAGTTAATAAATAATCATAAAATCCTTTATTTTTAAAACGATTTTCACAACTTTTTAATAAATCGCGTATAACCAGATTTATAAAGTATCAAGAATGTTTAACAAAATCTAAAAAATGTCGAATAACCGGCAGTTTTATTAAGAGTTCTGGAGTCAACCCTCCCCCCCCCCCCCC